ACAATTTTTATTTATTATTATGCTGATAGATTTAGATATTTTGTTAGAAATGTAATTTTGATGAGTGGTCCATTTTAGATTTTCCTGGATGTAAAGCCCAAGAAAAAGTGTCACGCTTTTGCGTTCAATATAAGTACCTCGAAAACATATATTAAAATTTTGAAGAGTTGGCATTTTTATGAACATTATGAAAAATAATGTAATTTGTTTTGAGAGTATTAATAAAGAGTTTATTGGCAATGAACCAGTCACAAAATTTTAGCAATCCATCATTCATAATATTAAATAGCGTATGTAGATTTGGATTAGAATAATCGTCGGCGAAGGAGACCACCTGCAGTATATCACTAACCCGAGTCAAGTCGTTAACATAAATAAGAAAAAGCAATGGGCCAAGTACCGATCCTTGTGGCACGCCACAGGTGATATCCTTCGTCGACGAATTACAAGAACCAATGGCAACAAATTATTTTCTGTCAAGAAGGTAATTTATTAGCCATTCAAGTGGGATGCCTCTCATGCCGTAATGACGAAGTTTATCAATTAAAATTTTGTGATTTATGACATCAAATGCTTTTGATAAGTCAATTAATAAGCTAATTAAATAACTTATTTTTTAAAGAGTTGGTTATGTTATGTACTAGATCGAGAATAGCATGTGCAGTGGAATGATTTTTTCTGAATCCATATTGATGGGCGTTAAGTATGTTGTGTTTAGTTAGGTAATGAAGAAGCATAGAATGCATAAGTTTTTCAATAATCTTAGAAAAAATGGATAATAGAGAAATAGGCCAATAATTTGAGGTCAGATTTCGTTCCCCCTTTTTGTATTATGGGGATAACTTTCGCGAGTTTGAGGTGGGTTGGAAATATACCCGAAGAAAAGGAAGAATTATTACAATAGGTCAAATGATTTAAAATAGAAGGAGAAATGTGTTTTTAAGTACGAGGAGAAACACCGTCGCAGCCCGCACTTTTATTAGGGTTAAATCCAATAATGACATTGTAAATTTGTGAGAAACAGTAAACAAGTGAGACAGGACTAATAAAGGATGAATTTAACGTAGTTTGAGGTAAATAAGAAAGGGGATTGGTTGCAGTGTCAGGGATAGCGTTGGATACATTAGGGCCAATTGAAACAAAATAATCATTGAAAGAATCGCATATATCATGATCTGAAGTAAGAATTTCGTTGCCAACCTTAATTGTAGTGATATTATTGTGAACATTTGTATCAGGATTTAGAATTGAGTTTATGACAGACCAAGTATTTTTTTAGGTTTCCTTTGAACTTATCAAATTGTGAAATAAAATAATTACGTTTGGCAATACGACATAGATTATTAAAGGTATTGTTATATCGGGTATAAGTGGATTTGTCATTAGTGGTTTTAGTACGAAGATATTTTTTGTAAAGTCTGTGCTTATGAGAACTGCTTTTTAATAAAGCTGGGGTCATCCAAAGTTGTTTGAATGAGTACTTAGTTTTTTTTAACTTTTAAAGGGGTTAAGTGCTTTGAATGTACAGTATAAAATTTGTTTAGAAATACATAAAACTGAATTTTGGGTCACAATTGTAGACGGCCGACCAATCTTCCATAAGCAAATCCTTACATAACGCATCGATATTTTTGATTCGTGGTGGTGATGGGATATCATCCATTTGTTTGGAAGAAAAACAATTTGTATCAATAATTTGAAAAATAGGAAAGTGGTCAGATATATCATATACAAGTACACCAGAATGAGTTTTAGATGCGGTTTGATTGAAAAAGAATTGATCGATTAAGGTAGCAGATGTGGAGGTTATGCGTGTAGGTTTAGAAATGGTAGGAAAAAATAATGTGAAAAAAAAAGTGTTAAGAAGATTACTCGTTGGATTATGATTGAGAAATTTAAGGAGATCTATATTAAAATCACCCATAAGATTACAATCTTTGTTTTCGGTGTCTATTTTATCAAGAGTTAAATCAAGTTGAATAATGAATGGTTCTAAGTGAGTGCTAGGGGCTCGATAGACTATGCCAATTATGACATTTTTCTTTTTAGGGTTAATAATCTCAATAAAAAGCGACTCACAAAACTCAGGAGGTAGTTCAAGATCATGGCGTACTTTGATATTAAATCCATGTCTTACAAACAAGCCAACGCCCCCACCCGCTCTGTTACCACGGCGATTATTTGAGTAAAAGGAATAATTTCTTAGGATTGGAGTTGGGGAATTGTTATGTAACCACGTTTCAGATAGCCCAATAATTGAAAATTTGAGATTCAATAAATTGAGTAGGAAATCGAGTGCATCAGTTTTATTGTTAATACTTCTGATATTTAGATGGATTAGAGTGAAAAGTGATTCGTTAGGCGTATTGAATTTAGAATTAAATTTAGGTAAAACAATTTTCAAGTGTATCAGATCGGATCGCAAGATTGTTGATTAAAAAATCAAAGGATTCATCATGTTTGTCAATTTCCTGGTTGTTGATAGGATTGAATTGAATGTTAGCTAGTTCATCACTTTCGTTTATATTTTCGATATCAATGTGCTGGTTGCGGAACGGAAGATTATTAAAATAGTTAACCATATGGATAAATATAAAAGTTCAGATAAATAGGTATGTACCAGTGCCACAAAGGGTCAAAATTCTTTAGTATTAATTCATTATAATAATGAGTCAAAATCAAAGTAAAGGGAAAATTCAATTAAAACAAAGATTATAAAAGGACTTACATATATATAAACTATTGCAATATACCGGTACTGAACGTATAGTAACACGTGAGATGAGGAAAAAATAAGCTTTAACCGTCTCGATAGTTACCATATAAGTATTGTCAAGTTAGAACCAGAGTATGGCAATATTAGATACCGTATTATAGAATATCTACTGAAAAAAAAGATAAATGAAGAAATATAGATAATGTATGAAATAAGACAAACGAGTGCACAACGTCGCAAGAAGTCAATTTAGATCAGGTTTATTACACAATACTTTCACATAATGAGTAAAAAGTAACAGTATAGTTGTGCGAGTAATTCGTTTTAAAGGTAAGTGGTATTATTTTGAGTAGGATATAAGTAACAATGAATAATACCAATACCAATAGCCGACAATAATGGAGTGTGAAAAAAAATAACAATAATAATAATAATAATAATAATAATAATAATAATAATAATAATAGTAATAATTTTGTGGTTTTCCAAACAGTTACGTGCAAAAGTCGACTTAACTAGAATATAATACAAAGTGAATACAATTTATGATTGTGCAATATATAAATAGCTAATCAAAAAGTTAATATAAAGTTGACTATTGTCAGACGGATAATATTGAATATATTTGGGCAATCAAAATGGAAGTCTTTGGTTCTACTTTAACTGGTTGACTTCGATCTTCCTCCAGCCTTTAGCGTCCTTGGTTTTCACTAGCAGACAAGCAGGGATTGACCAGGGGATTACGGCCATTTCGGTCGTCTCTCACCTTTTTGCTGACATCATCCGATATAAAGATAGAATTATCGTTGAATTTATTACCTTTTAGTCGCAATGCAGCTTGTTTGATTATCATCTCCCTGTCTTGGAATTTCAGGAATTTGACGTGTATAGGACGCGGCCGAGTTTTATTGGTCCAGGTCGAAGGTTTTCCGGGGCTACGATGCGCCCGCTCGATTTCCATGCTACTCGCTTCAGGTATTTGCATGTGGTTTACCGTGAAATCCTTAATAAATTGTAGACAATTATTTTGTTCGGAGCCTTCTGGAACACCCCAAAATACTAGATTGTTTCGTCTGGATCTATTTTCTAGATCTTCAACTCTGTCAGACAACAACTTTTGCAATTTATCAACGTACAATACAGATGCTTTACCTTTGAGACCGTCGGTATTCTCAGCCACCTGCTTATCCAGGTGCTCCATATCGAGTTCAAAACCAGTAAGTTTAGAGTTAATTTCAGGAATTTGACGTGTATAGGACGCGGCCGAGTTTTATTGGTCCAGGTCGAAGGTTTTCCGGGGCTACGATGCGCCCGCTCGATTTCCATGCTACTCGCTTCAGGTATTTGCATGTGGTTTACCATGAAATCCTTAATAAATTGTAGACAATTATTTTGTTTGGAGCCTTCTGGAACACCCCAAAATACTAGATTGTTTCGTCTGGATCTATTTTCTAGATCTTCAACTCTGTCAGACAACAACTTTTGCAACTTATCAACGTACAATACAGATGCTTTACCTTTGAGACCGTCGGTATTCTCAGCCACCTGCTTATCCAGGTGCTCCATATCGAGTTCAAAACCAGTAAGTTTAGAGTTAAGCACTTTAATTTCCTCATCTAATGAAGAATAACTTGAGTTAAGCTTCTTCAATTCAGTATTTATACAGTCCAGGCTAGCAAGAATATCAGAGTTGGTAGGCTCATCTTTGGTTGCCCTCGTGATTGGCTTTTTTGATGCCATATTCGGTAAATAAAAGAACCATCGAGGCGGCTAGCAGATCGAGAGCTTACACGTCTTCACTCATCGAGCTCACAACGATTACTGCAGTAAGACATTAGCAAAACGATTATATATGAAGGGGTATGCTAGTAAATAAGACCCTAGGGAAGTAATGTCCCTACCGTATGATGTTTGTGTTTTAAATTAAAGAAATTATGGTTTGTATATGAACTCATAGTATATTTTGTAAGTCTGCAGAAGTTGATTAAAGCCATTGTTACCAATTGGAAATGGGACCATTGCAAACCAATTGGAATTGGGGCCAGTTAAAGACCAGTTGAATTGTCTGAAAACACACAACACTCACAGTTTTTTTTAAATAGAATACACAGATTTTCTACATAAAATCGTTCAATTTATATACACTTTCTATGCAATTGTATATAATTTTTATATGCATATTTAATGTATTTTTATAGGTTTTTTCTATAAAATGTTTATAGATTTATAAGTGGTTTTTATAAAATTGTTTATAGATTTTCTATACCGCGCACATTACGAACCAATGAGAGGCAGCATTCAAGAAAACGAAGATTACTGCACCAAAGATTACGAATGGACGAAAATATCGGGAAACATCGAAGAGGTACCGGACAGAAGAGGCCAACGAACAGACATCGTACAGGCAGCAACGATGAAATTAGAAGGCGCATCACCAAGGGATCTCCTTCAGAATGCAGCATACATGAACAACAAATTCGCAATTGACTTGCAAGTTAAAGAAGTCCAAGAAGAAGAAACCAAATCATGGCTAGCTGCAAAATTTCACAACTGGCAACCAAAAAGATGGCAACAGAAAGTCATAGACCTCTGCAAAGAAGAACCCGACGATCGCACAATCCACTGGTACTGGGACAAAAAAGGAGGCACCGGCAAGAGCACACTCATGAAGTATCTGTTCAGCAAGATGAACGCATACGTCCCAAATCAATGCCGCAGCCTAGACATCATCAACGGCTATGACAAGCAGCGCATAGTGGTATTCGACTACACAAGGTCAATGGAAGAATAAGTCAACTACACAATTATTGAACAGCTCAAGAATAACGTTTTATTAAACAGTAAGTATCAATGCAGACAAGTAGTAACTAAAGATGTACACGTCATAATATTCGCTAACTTCCAACCAAACTTGGCTGCATTATCAGCCGACAGATGGCACGTTGTACAATTAGATAACACTCAATTGGTGTAATAAAGTTCTAAGATCACTCGATAACCGTTGTCAATATCTTGTTCATTTCCAGTGTCGTCTGTGTGTGTTTCTTAACCTTAGCTGGGTCATCAAAGCGCTTCAATATTATCAATCATGGTATTCTTAACACGCTTTATCATCAAACAATCACTTATCGTGTATACGATAACAACATATCTTCACAAATCAATTCAAATTAAGCATGGAAAAAATATAAAATCGTTGTGGCCACTGCCATTTTACCGTTTTTCAATTATTTCTGGCGTCATTTCAATTGATTCGCGAAGTTATTTTTTTATTGTATACACGATAAGTCCTTATCGAATCGTCCTAGTGTGAAAACGTCCTTATTTCTTTTATGTTCTCTATGAACAATTGCTTTTTAGCTTTTTATCGTTATCGTTGCAAGTATAGACAGGCCTTAAACCTTGTCCAAAACGCACGTCCCCGGCAGCCTTCACGTATCGATACATAATGACAAACAATCAATCAGCCAACGCCTTACATACGCACAGCTAATTGACCGACCCAAATGTGGGGCGCTATCGTTATACTTTTCATTGCAAGTATACACAGGCCTTAAACCTTGTCCAAATATAAGAACGTCCTCACACTCGTCCTCACACTCATCACACCTTACACGCTCACCAGCAACCACGAGATTCGCACGACCAGGAACTCTGCTACGCTCTACATACGCACAGCTAATTGACCGACCCAAATGTGGGGCGCTATCGTTATACTTTTCATTGCAAGTATACACAGGCCTTAAACCTTGTCCAAATATAAGAACGTCCTCACACTTATCACACCTCACACGCTCACCAGCAACCACGAGATTCGCACGACCAGGAACTCTGATACGCTCGACTTTTGTAGGGCGTCACCAACGGCTATATCACCATCTCCAGGTCCCTTAGGAAATTCTAGGCGAAGCTACCTGATACAGACGTTGGGGGCGCTATGACACTATCGCGAAAATGGGTATTCACGCTAAACAAGCCAACCGACGGGGAAAAAAACCTCATCCACAGACTAGAAACCTTGGAAGGCGAGCGGGACAGATGCAGATTAACTTACATACGAATGTCTATGGAGCGAGGAGAGCAAGGAACGCCCCACATTCAAGGCTGGCTGTGCTGGAAGAAAAGACTACGACTGACATACTGCAAAAAGCTCTTCGACCGCGCACATTACGAACCAATGAGAGGCAGCATTCAAGAAAACGAAGATTACTGCACCAAAGATTACGAATGGACGAAAATATCGGGAAACATCGAAGAGGTACCGGACAGAAGAGGCCAACGAACAGACATCGTACAGGCAGCAACGATGAAATTAGAAGGCGCATCACCAAGGGATCTCCTTCAGAATGCAGCATACATGAACAACAAATTCGCAATTGAGGTTTTTTTTATATACAATTTTCATAGACTTTCTATAGATTTTTAATAGAATTTTCAAAGTTTTTTATATAATTTTTATAGATTTTTAAGTCTTTTAATATAGTTTTAATATATTTTTTATAGAGTTTTTATAAATTTTGTATAGTTTTTTTTATATAATTTTAATAGATTTTTAATATAGTTTTAATAGATTTTTAATAGAGTTATAATAGATTTTTATTATAGTTTTAATAGATTTTAATAGACTTTTTATAGTGGGCTTCTATAGTTATTTATATAGAATTTTCTATAGATTTTCTAAACAATTATGCTATAGACATTCTATAGTTTTTTTTTTTTTTTGGATAGAATCCTATAGAATTTTTTTGTATGGGATGTGATCAGCAAGTACTGATAGATAGAATAACGAAAGTAAAAGAAACACAACATATTATAGATCAATCACTTGAATACTATACAGTTTCTACTACCAATACGGAAATGAACGTAAAGAGACATACATGTATCGAGAACTTGGAAACTGAGTTGAAAGAAACAGAATCAAATACGGTAAGTAACATGGAAGGTGAAATTCTAAGAATGGAGAGATATTCAAGGGGATTCAATCTACGGTTTAGTGGCATAAGGGAAGAGAACGAAAACACGCTAAGCAAAATTATAAGCTAAATCTGAATGATATTAAAATAAATTGAAAACGAACACAGAAGCGGAAAACCGTCCAGAGGTGACCAAAAACCCAGACATATAATCCCTAAATTTATTTACAGGCCACAATGATACACAGTTCTAGGGAAAATAAAAGCACTAAAGCCGGTTTTTTCCACTAGTCAAATTTATTTCTTGCGAATCAAAAGCGTCGTTCATGCACATGCGCATTGACATTTCTATCAGAGCTTTCGCTTCAGCGAAATCAGTAGTTCGAACTGTTTCTAATTTTTGCAAAGCGAAAAAATGGAACAAAAAGAGAACCAGCTATTTTGTAATCTGTAATTTGTCATAATTGCCTATAATAGATAAACCAAACAGTGACGTCATTTTAAACGTGTCTGAACTTGTGTTGTAAAACGCTAGCGGTTATTGAATTTTGTATATTCTATATTATTTTTGATTTCTTAATAAAATGGAATTATAATAATATTGTTTTTTATATAGACAAATCATCACTGACTTCAAACTGAAGGTAAACTGTGATGATGGTTCCCCTGGGTGTTTAGTCGGTCGTAGGCCATTTATTAATTCAGTTGACAATTTTTTTATTTTTTTTGTATAGTATAAATGACAAAGTTCCGCTGTAGGATATTTTGAAGAGTACATATTTTCGGTGGTATTGTGTGCTGAATAAACCTTTTAGTTCAAGTGTATTACCAAATTTAAAATATTCTAACCCTAACTAAATTTATAGCCCTAATTTTGCCTTTTTCTAACTATGACGTATAAGTATACCATTAGGCCTATTATGTTGTGAATAAAATCAATCAACTACAAGTCTTTAGAACAAAAGAGGACCAGCTATTGTCTAATCTGTTTTCTTTTGTCATCACTGTGTAATAGATAAGCCATAACATTGACGTCATATTTAACTGAACTTGCTGTAAGAATGGAAGGAATTATGTTTTATAGTAAAGGTGGTCTTCATGGTGCTAGTTTAGCAGAGCTATATGCTGGTTTTTTATATTTTTTTCCGCTGTAGGATATTTGGAAGAGTACATATTTTCGGTGGTATTGTGTGCTGAATAAAACAATTTTAGTTCAAGTGTGTTACCAAATTTAACATATTCTAACCCTAAGTAAATTCATAGCTCTCACTTTGACTTTTTCCTAACTATGAAGTAAGTATAATATTAAGATCTGAATAAAATGAATCAACTACAATAGATCTACACTTGTATTTGTATTAGTCTTTTGGAACAAAAAAGGTACCAGCTTAATCAATTTCCATTTTAGCTTGGTTGTAAAACTGCTGAAATGAACTTTAGCGGGAAAAAAGTAAAGGAAAATTAATTTTTGGTTTTTCTGAATCAGCATACCCTATAGTGTCTCAGAAAAAAAAATCCCCATGCCTAGGGCTTGGGCAATTTTTTTTTTTTTTTTTTTGCAGCACTTTGAAATTTTGGCCTAAAATACTCCATTTTAAACTATTTAAGATGGGGGGTAGGGAAAATAAATTTATGTTTTGGTCACTTTTACATATACTGTGGATATGAAATGTAACAACAACTTGGCTATATAGTTACTCATCATTCTCATTAAAAAATTTGATCAGAATGATGATGTCATCATGACAAATTCCAAGATGGCGTCCATTATGGTGGGGAAAACTATGTTTTAATGTAAAAATAATTTTATTGTTATCAAAGTACAATACAATCTCGATACAATATTATACATACAGGAATTTAAAAAAACATATAGGACCTATATATAATTAATGAACTAATACAAAGTTAACGAAAAAACGAAATAGTGAAATTTTCCTTTTTGTTTTTAGTCACTAGGGTTTTTTTCTATAACTGTGAAAACTGACAGACCTTAGTTAAATATTTACCCCATTAGAGTCGTTCAGTGGCGGCCCCAGGGGAGTCTGATAGCGTGGATCGAAACACAGGGCCGACTAGACCCTCGGTCAGAGCCCCGGAATAAACGTCCCTGGGCTTATGGGAGAGTTTTTTTTTTAGCTTAGTATGGCCCAACATTTTGCTTTTAAGCCAAAATATTAGGGATTGGCAATCAAAATAATGTTATATGGATAAGCAAATCATTATTTGTGGTGTGGCGACCATGTCGTGGCATCGGACGATGGGAGTCTAGGCCTGTCTGACGGGAATTCCCCACATCCCAAGCAAATTTGGAATGATGACACCAAATTCCAAGACTACGGCAATCAAAATTAAAGGAAATGTTTACCTATTTAAATTTAATCTTTCTACACTACATTTTTCTTCTATCATCATTATTATACTATTATGTTGTTACTTTATAACATTATTAATATAGTATATAATTATTCTTATGCGTTTAAAAAAAATTTGTAGTTTATAATTCACATTAATATTAGCATTAGTACTGTTATTCTTACTATACGGATGTCATTATTATTATTATCATCATCATCCTCATTGTCATCCCCATCCTCATTATAATCCCCATTATAAGGAGGATGTTGTTGATGATGAGGAGAAGAAAGATAATGAGGATGATGGTGAGGAAGAAGATGATCCTAAGTACCTTGCATAAATCTTATCGACAACTTGACGGATGGGGCTCATCCTGATGATATGATTCGTATGGTATGATTCATAGAATGTCCGGAATTAGATTATCCGATACAACTTTCATTGATGAAAAAGCGCCACTTGACGGCCGACCTATTCCTTGCGAGTTGGATCACGAATATCTAAATTGTTAAATTTA